GTATTGAGGAATGGAAACTCTCGGTGCGAAGTATTAACTAATTTTCATAGTAAACAGTACTAAGGAACTACTAGAAGGAGTCACCTTAGCTCTGCACAATGTATGGACAAAATGTTTCTGTCACCAAAGTGGATAAGTTAAAAATATTCAAAAATGAAAAATCCAAGATGGTGGCCGAGTTTAACTATTTTATCTCTGATGATAAATTTAGGAATATATTTTGGGGTACCTGGCTTCCCTGCAGCGAGTCGACCTTTATTGAGCCATGGTAGATTTCGGTTCGAAATATTATCTAGGCTACAAATTTTCCCCGATTTTTGGGTAATTTTGCAAACCCAAAATGTGGGAATTTTTTTTTCTACATTCTAACATAAGAGTGACTGGGATCTATAATAAATCTCACCTTAATAGTTTTATGCGATTTTTTGTAAAATTAGTTGGCAACACCATGCATCGATTTTCGTAAAGAGTAATATTTACTAAGGACCCACTAGAAGGATCGTGTCTCTGTACAATATATGGATGAAAAAGGAAAAATGGTATGAAAATTTACCCCGATTCTGGGGTAATTTAGAAGACAAGTCCAAAAAGTGGGAATTTTGTTTTTCTGTATATCAAACAAAATAATGATGGATATCTGTCAAAAATCATCCCCTTATGGGTTTTTCGTGGTTTTTGTCAGAATTAGTTGGCAACACCTTAGATCAGTTTTCTTAGGGAATAGTACAAGAAGAAGTCACCGAGGCTCTACATAATGTATGGACGAAAAGTTTCTGTTACTAGGGTGAATACGTCAAAAGTATTAAGAAGTAAAAATCCAAGATGACGGCTGAGTTAGGGTACTTTTTTAAATTCAGTTTTCAGGTACTCATTGTCACTGCAGCGAGTTGACTTTTATGGAGCAGTGGAAACAAGGTACGAAGCACTACCTGGTCTAAAGGTCTGGTTTTCCCCGATTTTAGGGTAATATCGGAGAGAAGTAAAAAACCGTGGGATTTTTTGTTTCATCATTTTAGACCAAACAATGATGCCGATCTGTCAAAAATAATCCCCAAGGGGTCTTAGGTGGCTTTTGTCAAAATGAGCTGGCAACACCATACATCGATTTCCATTGTAAACGGTACTCAGGAACTACTAGAAGGAGTTACCTTGGCTCTGTACAATGTATGGACGAAATGTTTCTCACCTGAAGATGTATATGTTAAAACTATTTAAAAAGGAATCATTCAAGATGGCGGCCGAGTTAGGGTACTTTATTCCCGATGACAAGTTTAGGGACGTTTTAAAACTCATTTTTGGGGTAGTATTTTATTCCTTACAGCAAGTTACTTCTATGGAGCAAAGACGTGAAGTATTATATAGGCTACAAATTTTCCCCGATTTTTGGGTAATTTTGCAAACCTTAAATGTGGGAAATTTTTTTCCGACATTTTAACATAAAAGTGACGGGTATCTATAATAAATCTCATCTTTATAGTTTTATGCAATTTTTTGTAAAATTAGGGGGCAACACCATGCATAGATTTTCGTAGAAAGTAATATTTACTAAGGAACCGACCGAATATTTTAAAAGGACCGTGTCTCTGTACAATATATGGACGAAATATATCTGTCGTCATGTAATATATACGTCAGAAGTATCAAAATGGAAAAATCCAAGATGGCCGCCGAGGTTGACTTTGAACAAAATTTGGAAGATTTTTTTATTTTGGTACATGGTAACCATGCAGCGAGTCCGCTTTTATGGGATGGCATTGAATCTTAGTATTGCCAGCGCTAAAAACTTTCTCCGATTTTAATATTTATGATATTTTAATTAAAAGAGTGTTGAGTGGTTATTATTTATCATAGGTCCTTTACCTACGATAAATAATAACCCTAAGGCTTTTATCAAAATTGTTTGGAAAACTTTACTATGAAAACCGATGTAAGTTGTTACAACGGTTTTCATAGTAAACTATTAGAAGAAGTTGACAATGTATGGACGAAATGTTTTTGTCACCCGGGTAGCTAAGTCAAAATAAAAAAAAATAAAAAGTCGAAATGGTATATAGAATGGTATAGTAAACAAAAAGGTAGCTTAGTTTAGGTTTTGTATTATGATTTCTACATTAAAAACTGTGAACCCAAATTAATATAGTATACAGAAAGGTAGGTAATGTGAGGTTTTGTATTGTGCCCATTGCAATAAAAATTAAAGGCACAGGTCGAAATGGTATATAGAAAGGTAGGTTAGGTTAGGTTTTGTATTGCGACTCTTACAGTAGAAATTATGCCCTCAGAATAATATAGTAAACAAAAAGGTAGGTTAGGTTAGGTTTCGTATTATGATCTCTACATTAAAAACTTTGACCCCAGACTAATATAGTATACAGAAAGGTAAGTTAGGTTAGGTTTCGTATTGTGACCATTACAATACAAAGTTTCGCCACAGGATGGTACACGTGAAACAAAAATTCACTGTTACAATAGGAAGTCACCTAATCGTATCAAAACAGACAACTCTACTTGCCAACTAAGTCTATTCGAAAAGAAAACCGTCTTCACAAAAAAAATCAACGACAACGCCTCGCGGGCCTCTTGAGGCCCGCGCACACACGCACCCTCTAGTCTATAATATATAAAGCTGCATTACGGTGACTCACTCACTGATTGACATAGTTGTTCTCCCAGAAGGAGTGCCGGGGGGTCGTGACGATGTATGGGGGAAGTGTACCTCTCGCTAGGGTGACCACGAGAAAATTCCGAAAGTTGGGAAAATCCAAGATGGCGGACCAAGATGGCGACTGAACTTTGTCAATTTCCGTCGGATCGATTTCGTTCAAGCGGTGGTTCGTAGCGGGCCGCAAACGGTTGCATTTCAGGTTAAAAGAAAAAAATAAAAATCCAAGATGGCGGCGTGAAAAATGAAAATGAAAATTGAAATTTTTCGAGGGTTTCAAAAACCGAAATTCCCAGGGTAGTTGCGGGGGTGCTGGTGACACCGGTTGTAGAGCATAGGAAAGTCGAAGGACCCGGCCTCTAAGGAAAATTATGAAATTTCGAAAATCCAAGATGGCCGCCGAGATGGGGACGGATTTTTAGGACCAAATTCACACAATTTGGTCCTAAAAATCCGGATTATTTTCAAAGTCATTTTTTAGGTACAGGGCAACCCCGCAGCGAGTCGGCTTCTATGGGGCGATGATGGGTCTCGGTAAGAAGTATTGCCAGCGCTAATAAGATTTTCCGAATTTGGGGTAATTTGGGAGAAATGTCCCAAAAAGTGGGAAAAAATTTTTTCGGCATTTTTGACAAAAGAGGCATCAAGGCCTATCGAGAAACATCCCCTAAAGGGTTTTAGGTGGGTTTCGTCGAAATTTGTTGGCAACACCCATACATGGTTTGACCAAAATTGAAATTGGGGTGTCTATCCAAACACTGAAATTCCTAGGGTACTTGCGGGGGACTTACCCATCCTTATTATAAGGCGTTGGGAGGCTGAAAGACCCGGCCTCTAGGGAAAATTATGAAATTTCAAAAATTCAAGATGGCGACCAAGCTAGAGGTGATTTAGGTTTTGGAAAAAAATTTGAATATATTCAATCGAGTTTTTGCTGCACATGGCAACCCTGCAGCTAAACGCCACTTACTGACATGAAATTTCAAGTGTTTAGCTTCAAAAATGACGATTCTTCCATACAATCTTTAATTCCCCCTTTCAAGCCCTTGCTACTCTTTTTCGCATTAAAAAGTAGCCATGTCCTTTCTAGGGGTCTAAACTATCTGTGTACCAAATATCATTTAATCTTTTCAGTAGTTTTTCCGTGAAAGCGAGACAGACAGACAGAGTTACTTTCGCATTTTTAATATTAATAAGGATTACAAACAGACACTCCGATTTTATTTATATGTATGTATGTATGCATGTATAGAGTGTGCATTTAAAAAACAAAAAATCCAACTTAAAAATATATATTTTAGGAATAAACAACATCTACGTTACTAACTAAATAAAATAACCTGTAAATAATTTATAAATTTCAATTTAAATCTGAATATTGAACACAAATGTACCTAATTTATAATAATTACTTAAAGGTAAAAAAGGAAAGCAGTAAACATGTAACAAAATATTTTGATTTAAGATAAGAAGAACGGATCGGTGTAATTATAAAATATACCTATCAATTAAAAGTATATGATATAAGAACTGGAAATCAATTTTTAAATAAAGTCGTCGAGACAATCATCAATTATGGTGATTCGTTGGTGTGAGAAGTAGCGAGAGGCCCCCGAGGTATCGGCCCAGCGCGGTGCATGCGCATGAGCGCGCGGTTTTACTTACAACATTACTTTATTTTTCTATAAAATTAAATATTTTTCTAAAATAAAAGTAGCCTAAGTTACTCCCTATTACATCAGCTACCTGCCATAAAAAGTCCCGTTAAAATCGGTTCAGCCGTTTCAGAGATTAGCCGGAACAAACAGAACGACAGACAGACAGACAAAAATTTTAAACAGTGTTTTTTTGGTGTATGTTTCATATTTATATTCATATGCATGCAGTAAATAACGGTTATTTCAATATTACAAACAGACACTCCAATTTTATTTATATGTATAGATATAGATGTATAGATGTATAGATATAGATACATATGTAGATTAATGCATTATTTGAGAAGGTGTTTTATAAATATGATATTAATCCTTATTCAAATAAATGCGTTTTTTAACTTTGAACAAAAATGTTTACATAATTTGTATTCAAAGAACATTTTAGGAGATATCTTAGTTTTAACAAAAGAAGGACCTTACTGACTGACACACTACAAATTCTTATAAAGTCAAATAGGTAAATCAAAATGGATATTACTTTTTACAGCATGTTAAAGAGTCTAATAAGAAGATTTACTAAAATGTCGAACAGTTTAAAAGTTAAACAAATATTGGGCCCGTGCGAAGCCGGGGACGGGTTGCCATTATACAAATATAACATTATAGTCATAAATACCAACCGTGCCACGCAATTCCTTCGCCTCTTGTACCGAATAAAAAAGTAATCCAATGATTACAATAGCCCCCTGAACACCACCCGCCATATTGAATTGTAATCTACCAAATAACTGAACAAACAACTTCGCTCTTATATTTAAATTTATTTGTAACTTATTTGCACATAATTGCCGGAAAAATTAAATTATTTTAATACGTAGGTACTATTAGGTATGATAATAGGGGCTGTATTTATAGAGTTGTATTTATATTTATAGGTTTGTTGTATCTATAAAAAAATAGTTTATTAAAATAAAAGTAAATTTCAGACATATATAGTTATGCAGAACGGTATAAAATAATTAGGAATCAAGAGTATAACAGTTTATGAGGATGTCTGCAGAAGAAGCCATTTTGTAGTCAGTTATTTTTCCCGCGCATATGTAATGCGCCACAGACGCAGAATATTGCACGGCAGGAGTTAAAGGTGAATAATCGGCAGGATCTGTGGACATAGTTGAGAGGAGACGAGAGTTCAGGACGCCCTCTATTTGTGTCAATACCGTGCTGAACTCCTCAAAATTTAAATTAGCATTGCCTACTATTAGTCTGAGGTGATCTTACACAATTTGATGCAAATTTCCCAACAACCCCCGAAATGAGGTGCATATGGATGAATGAAAGTGAACTTTATACTATCATTAGATAAAATCGGTTATCGTATCTAGTCCGTTTTATACAATTGAAGAACATTCTCTTTCAGCACCTACAAAAATTTTCCGGTTATCGGATAATATTGGCTTCCATTGTCTTTCCACGCCAGAAAATAAAACGTTTGAATTAAATTACTTTTAAATTAAATTAAATTAAATATTAAATACAAAAAGAAATTATCTTTATTAAAGTGAATTTAATATAAACACTTTTGAATAGTCATATTTTGTGATTTTCCAATCATTCGGAATGCAGACTCAATACAAGAAGAACGAGCAAGGATGTTGAGGGTTTTAAAGAATTTTTTACTCTTTTCGAATTTGTTCTAGATTTAATGTTTACTCTTCTATTAAACTTTATGCTAGTATTTAAACGCTAGAATATGAAATGGAAATAATAGTTATGTTAAAATTATGTTTTTGTAATAAAAGATTATTTTTCTCTATTAAGCATTCTATCTGATTATTGAAGTATTATAAGATGTTTCACTAGGGGTGATCAAATTTTCATAAATAAGTAGGTACTTTCTCTATCTATCTTAGATGTAATAATACAATAATTTTGTAATAAAAGATACTGAGTACGTACATAGTTTTTTTAGTCTATAATTATTCTTATCTAGCGTAGTACAGCATTTTAAATCATACATTATATTTCTATAATGATTTCCTGTAATTTATTCATTACACGTGGGCTGCTGTCTCTATCCTAAAATATTTGTGTAATTTCATTATGTAATTGCTAGGGTTGTTAACGAATTCCGTAACCGTAACCGAAACTATCGGATATCCGATATAAAAAAATATCCGTAACCATAACCGAACTAAAAGTTTCGGACAATATCAGATAGGGGCAGAGCCTAATTTTGACATGTTATGTAACCATTTTATTAGCTATTTGTGTTTTATTTTTGAAATTCTTTAAATAACCGTATCCGAAATTATTCAAAACTAACGGATAATCCGATATAATTTCATATCACCATCCGTATCCGTATTCGGTATAATATTCATTCGTATAACCTCATCATTGGATATGAAATTTCTGATTGTATCAGAAATTTCATATCCATAACATCCCTGGTAATTGCAATGGCACTTGACGGTAAGTGGTAACCGTCGCCTATATACGTATATAAATGCACTACAGACGTCGTGACGACTGTAATAGAAATAGTCATACATTGCCATTCAAAAGAATTAACATGTCATATTCAGCCTCTGTTGTTCACTAACTTTGACTCATCCGCTTAACTGTTTGAAATGGTCAACTTGTTTTCATTGTGTTTTGTAACTACACACATAATTTTATTGTGACGACCTCAGTGGTCTAGCGGTCTAGCACACCGCTTTACGTCCGATGGTCGTGGATTCGATTCCTCACACGGCACAAATATTTGTATTCATGAGTATGATTGTTTGTATCGGTCTGGGTATTTTCTATGTATTATATAATATGTATGTATTTGCGAAAAAAATATCTATGTATTTGTATCAATTGTCTAGTACCCATATTATTATTATTTTTATAAATTAATAATTTTATTGTATTTAGAGATGTAGGAGAAGAAAAGAATGCGTGACCGGGTACTGCTAAGGTAAGGTCAAGTATTTCACCTTATTTCAGTCGCCATGCAGCTTGCGTTACAAGGAAATGTAGTTGTCCCGTCTACAAAACGCCACCAAAGAGCAGGACATTGACATCAAGTAACATTGAAGGTGACACTGCCGGAGTCGAGTCAGAAAACGAGTTACAAGGCGTTTGTGGCCCGGGTCCCTACCAATATGCTGCCCACCTTCATGATGGACTACTGTCCGATAGGTGTGGTATGTATATCGGCGCTGTCGTGGCAGATTGCTGTGTTCAGTGCCGTGACCACATCAATATATTACTTTTTAAATATTAAATTATATGTATGTTAATCTATAACGTACTTATTATATGGGCTTAGTTGCCTGAAATAAATGAATAAATAGAGAAAATAAATTATTGTTAACACTTTTGCTTTCCTCTTAGTTTTTTTTAATTATATGATTATAAACTGTGTGCACGCAAACGAATCAGTATTCATAATAAATAATATTATAATTAGGACTATCTATTATAATATGTTGAAAGTAGGTATATGTATATGTATGTGTTGTTATGCATCTTGTATTTTACGTGTACCAGGATCATAATACTTTTTCCCTTTTTTAATATTATTTAATATATATTTAAAGTTATCATTATAAGAGACTGGATTGGATTCTAACAAATTATCGGTAGCAGGTAGCTTTGTTTTCAATCGGTGGTTCATTAATAACTTTGCTGGTGAATAAGTCTCATCGGTAATTGGTGTATTTCTAAAATTAAGTAACAAACAATAAATGCCAGTTTTCACTATATTCGTGAGATTTAAGTAATAATGTTTTTATACTTTGTATATTACACTCTGCGTGATCACTTGATCTGGGATAGTCACGTGATTGAACTCCCATAACTTAGAAAAATTACAAAATTCCTGTGACGTAAATTGGGTGCTGTTATTAGTAACAAGATTTTCCGGTATTCCAAAGGGACCAAAAATATTTTTGACGACATGTGTGACAGATGAACTAAATAACTTAGGTATCTGTGTAACTTTTAAAAAAATTGAGTAGTTGTAGCCGTAGATTAACGACTAACAAGTAGTATTTATTTATTTTTACACAGCTAGTATTATAGTAATAAAAATATTATAATACGATACGCACAAGCCACGCTAGCAATTCTCCCACTATGAGAGCATTGCAATTATTAAATTTATTTTTAGGTAAGGTCCAAGATGCTGACGTTTATACAGAAGCCTTGCCTTCCATAATTACTAAAATAAGAATATTTTTATCATCGTATAATTTTAAGTAGTATAAATAGTTTTAAAATATAAACGTGTTGGTAATTAGCTGTAAGTTTATATTGTGTTAATTAAATAAATAAAAAAATAAATAAAAGAAAATAAATACCTTGCCCACGGTTTCCTTATATTGCAATATATAACTTTCAATAATAATATACTCTATATATTATTCTGATGCATAAGCAATATTACTGCAAAGTTTCAAAAGTGCTGTTTGAAACCGTTTATATGCAAAAAAATCGAAATGTATAAACACAAATAATATTAATATAAGAACTTTTGAATAGTCATATTCATAAGGAAAGCAGACTCCTCACAAGAACAACAAACAAGAAACTTGCGTTGATCTTTTAAATAAATGTTGTTTATCATAAAAATAACAATAAAACAGATAAGGCAATACCTGATTAGTGTAACGAATATTATAATAAATGTTACGAGTGTCATACGTTGCATTTCGTGAATTATTACAGCTTTTCTTTTGGGAATTTTGTACACAAAATGTGACGATGACAATCCCATCGTACCTACATTAAATAACAAACATAAAATAAAAATCAACTTAAAAAACTAAAACCAATATGATACCACCCAGAACAACAACTTGGTTGCATCGGAAACTGGTTCTGCTAATATTTCATGGAACACTCGTATGTCTAATATATTTAACTTTAAAGCTTGGATGGTATATTCTCTTTTAGATGGATTATGAACACATATCATCAAAATATGATGCAGATCTTATTCTTTTCCAAAAGCTTCACAATTATGTCACTTTTTCATTAAATAAGTAAATTAATTTAATGGAATGACTATTACAGGTTAGAGAATGACATCTCGGACTAAGATGTCATGCTTCTTATCCTGTAATTCTACTACTTTAACCATACCCTTCACAGCTTACAACTGTAAGCTGTCTTATGTACAGCTGTAAGCTGTGAAGGGTAAGGTTAAAGCAGTAGAATTACAAGATAAGAAGCTTACAGCTGTGAAGGGTAAAGTTAAAGCAGTAGAATTACAAGATAAGAAGCTTACAGCTGTGAAGGGTAAGGTTAAAGCAGTAGAATTACAGGATAAGAAGCTTACAGCTGTGAAGAGTAAGGTTAAAGCAGTAGAATTACAGGATAAGAAGCTTACAGCTGTGAAGGGTAAGGTTAAAGCAGTAGAATTACAAGATAAGAAGCTTACAGCTGTGAAGGGTAAAGTTAAAGCAGTAAAATTCATGTGATAAGAAGTTTTACAGCTGTGAAGGGTCTTTAAAGAGTAGAATTACAAGATAAGAAGCTTACAGCTGTGAAGGGTAAAGTTAAAGCAGTAGAATTACAAGATAAGAAGCTTACAGCTGTGAAGGGTAAGGCTAAAGCAGTGTGAATTACAGGATTATTAATTTAAAGCTGTGAAGGGTTGTTAAAGCAGTAGAATTACAAATCTTACAGCTGTGAAGGGTAAAGTTAAAGCTGTAGAATTATACAAGATAAGCTGTCTTTACAGCTGTGAAGGGTTCTTTTAAAGCAGTAGAATTACAAGATAAGAAGCTTACAGCTGTGAAGGGTAAAGTTAAAGCAGTAGAATTACAAGATAAGAAGCTTACAGCTGTGAAGGGTAAGGTTAAAGCACTGAAGCGACTGATGCACCGACGCAGACTACTCTTATAGTAAAGAGCATAAGACGCCGAACAGTCATTACGCATACGCATGGCCGCCATTTTGAAATTATAATTGAATAAAAAAATAAATAACAATCATTCTGTAGTTATAGTTTTGATAGTCTGATGTCCGCCATTTTGAAATTATAATTGAATAAAAAGGAGGCTAAAGCACGCACGATTAAAGGACGTGAGAATGCGCGAGCTAAAGGCGCTATATTTTGCTCCACAGTAGTTGCATGGCCGCCATTTTGAAATTATAATTGAATAAAAAGGAGGCTAAATAAAGCACGCACGATTAAAGGACGTGAGAATGCGAGCGCTATATTTTGCTCCTAAGTTGCATGGCCGCCATTTTGAAATTATAATTGAATAAAAAGGAGGCTAAAGCATGCACGAAGGCGCTATATTTTGCTCCGGAATAGTTTGATGTCCACCATTTTGAAATTATAATAATTTAAAAGGCTTTAAAGTACGCATGATTGAAGGACGCGAGAAAGCGCGGGGTAAAGGCGCTATGTTTTTGTTCCGCAATAATTTGATGTTCGCCATTTTGTTATTGAAATTAATTATTACAAAAAGGCGATAAAGCTTGCACGATTGAAGGACGCGGGATTATGCGAGCTAACTGCGCTGTTTTTCTCGTTCTTTTTGTCTACATTTTATGCTCATTATATCCTGCGTAACAGCCGTCGTGTGCAAGAACGTACGTATAAAGGCAGGTAATACGATAATAGTCTCCATTATTAATAAACCCTTCCTCCATGTTTTGTGAGTTTGAGAGAATAATCAATTATTTTGTACAAGCAGGTATTGAGTACGACAACGCTGTCTGAAGGTTGGACTGGTTGCTCTGAGGACTATAAATTTTATTGTCAAATTGTGGACAGTATTGTAGGATACGGTTACTACAAGACGGGAATTCTAACGTTTCTAAATTATAGCACAATTTACAAGCTGATAGCGGACTGAGAAGCATGTATAAATAGAATCGAAATATTCTTCATTGAAATAAATTTATTTAATTCCTTAATTTATTAATTCAATCGACATATTCGAAATGAAGATTTAATCAAGAAGAATACGGTAGGAATTTCACTGGTGTTCTTTTTTACCAAACATAATGCAAATAATAAATGACGCAAAGAGTGAACCTACTAAATAGCCTAAAATAATAAGGTCGTCGTAACTTCGATCCCCATTTGAATTGGAAGGAGGATCGATAGGAGCGGCTTATTTTATAAACGATCCTCTTATTCCTCTTAGTCTTCCTTCAATACTGGTGACTCAACACCTACTCCACATTTCTATTGGAGACTGGTGATTGAATATTACCTGAATATTGGAGGAATTTGTATATATTCAGGTGTACTTAAAAATACCAGTGTGTCTAGACAGACGCACAAACAGTTTGTTGTTACCTTATCTCGGTTAACCGTCTGAAAGTAATCTTAACTTTACATGTTTGAGTATCAAAAATATATTTTCTTAAAAGTCGACAACGATGAAATCACTATGTATGTATATAAAATACCCAATTCTAACTGTTGTTAAAGACAAGCCTTATTTTGGGGCTAGATGGCGCTGTGTAAGAACAAAAATAATCATCATTGCCTTGCCTTAAACCCATTATTTGGGGTCGGCGCAATATGTCATTTTCTTCCACTGATCTCTATCTTCCATCACATCTGAGCTTACTCTCCTTTTATTCATATAATCTTACGCACAATCCATCTTTTGTGTAAAAAAAAGAAGCAATATTGCATCGCTGTTCTCGTGTAACTTGTACCATACATTTCAGCAAGTTGACGCCCATTCGTCATTGTGACACGACCCCCAAATAAACGAGAATCGCTATCAGGATCTTAGGCTGCGGACTATAATGTTATTTGCTCAACGTTTTGTTTCTGCTGACGTTTCAGTGACGGATGGAATCCTGAAATGTATGGCTATGGAAATATCTGTGGCCCGTAGGTAGGTTTTTCTTATTTCAAATGCTTCCTTATATTCTATTATTCTTATATTCTTAGCTCAGTCTCTATTTGAATCAATTAGCAGTTTAATTTGTAGGTTGTGCTTTGGTTCCATGAAAGAAATAAAAATATTTAGTGCATAAATAACAATGACAAACAAAAAATGAACTAAAATTTATAATAAAATTTTAAAAAATTACATTTTTACATCTTCTACTTCTGACTAATATTATAAACGTGGAAGGTTGTGACTGTGAATGGTTGGATGTTTGTTACTCTATTACGCAAAAACGACTAAATGGATTTATAATGAAACTTGACAATGACATTACTTATACATCATAAGAACTCATGGGCTATAAATAGGACGCGGGTGAAATTGCGAGCACATTTGGTATACATATATAGCAATGAAATGGCCTTATCATGAGTAGTGGCACGGGCGTTATCATTATTACATAGAATAAAATAAAGTCGCTGTCGCTGTCTGTCCGTCCCTCATCATCATTATCATCTCAGCCCGGAAGACATCTACTGCTGAACAAAGGACTCCCTCAAAGATCTCCACGACGATCGGTTCTGCGCTGCTAATGCCTTCCAGCGATCTTGACCAGATCATCGGTTCACCTGCTGGAGGCCTTCCCACGCTGCGTCTTCCGGTCAGCGGTCGCCAATCGAGGACTTTATGTCCGTCCGTATATATGCTACTAAAATAGCCAGCCAAGATGCTCTTAGAAGTGCAGAAAAGTCCTGGTGTCTGCACAGACTTCACGGAATGACCTCAACGTTTCGAGGACTTGTGTTCGTTGTGTGGCCACTGCAGGATTATGTGAGCGGCTGTTTCTTCGGCTTCAAAGCAGCCCCAACAACGGGGACTGTCTATAGCACCTATTGTGTACAAGTGTTTGTTTAAGGGACAGTGGCCTGTTATTGTCCATATCATTATTTTAAGGTGCATTTATAAACACACATGTTGGCATGGGGATTGTTAGGAATGTGGACTGATGACCCCATAGTTAGCAATGTACCAAAGCAGTTTGACCACGCGGTTCCCCCTGGATATTGTCGAGGTAAATTCGTTGTCAATCACGATGGGCTAACTGACCTGACATCATATTATCACCCTCCACTGGTGCCCCGCCAGAGTAAAACGTAAACGCAGCCTTGAACACCATTCTCTTCCTCTTACAGCAGATATTAGTCCACTGCTCAACGTATGCCTCTTGTATAATTTTACACTTTGTTCTATCTGTGGCGCACCTTGTCCAGGTCGAACTAGTTTCAAATCTAGAACACCATTATTGTCTATTGTTAATACCCATAGTATTAACATAGCGCATACTGCCATGCGCTCGTCATCCTACTGCGGCTGCGCGCCTTGCATATTGTGCATCTGTGGCGAGTTGCATTTGCGCGGGAAACTAACTACAAAATGGCTTCTTCTGCAGAATTTCTAATTTACTGTTGTACTCCTGATTACTATTTTTTTATACCGTTCTACATAATTATATATGTCTGAAATTTACTTTTATTAGAAACTATTTATATACAACAAAACTGGCATATAAATACAGCCCCTACCAACCATAACGCTTAAATTAAAAACAAAACTACATTTACAGTAGTTAGAATTTGTTTACATTAAATACAAATTTAGAACTTCCTTTTTAATAATTGTTCCGATTAATAATAGTTGTAATTATTACTATTACTGAAAGGTCTGGCACTCATTCACGTTTAATGGATATGATATAATCTATATTTAAATATGAAATTGTGTTTTTTAATAAAAAACGTTTGTATGATTGCTGTGTTTTGCTGCAAAATTATATTCAGGCCAAAATTGAAGTTCAACATGGTTGGTAGTGTTCATTGGAGCATAGTTCTAATTGGAGGATTATTTCTTGTCTCCGTGCAGGGGGCAAAGGAAACGAGGAAGGTAATCGTAACTCACGACTGATATCCTAGATGAGGTAGTCAGAGGGTTTTCTTGATGAACTAGCTGAACTCGCAAACGTTGGTTTGCCATATAAATTAAAATCCCTTTTAAAAAATAGGTGTTGGTGAAAATTTATGGTTTTATGTATTTTTTAATGTAACATAAAAACACGTAAAATTATTTTTTTTGGGGGGAGCCACCCTTAACAGTTTGTAGTATAATATTAGTTTTATACCTATTCTCAGATGTACTGAATATACACATAAAATGTCATCAAAATCGGTCAAACCGTTTCGGAGAAGTATAAACACCAAAACTGTGACACGACAATTTTATATATTAGAAAAAAATATGGTATGGTGCATCCACCATTTTGTTATGACATGAAAACTCTTTAGAAGATCGTCCCCCGCTGAAGGACTGCCGATTGGGTAGATTTTTTTAATAGATAATAATGAAATGGTGCACAAATCTGCGCGGCTTACGCTGGTGAGGCATCAGTGGTAGGTGATAAGATGAAAATGAGGTCAAATCAATCCGTCGTGACAAATTTACCAGGAATTTATCATGCTTGCTTGCATGCTTTCATGGGAATCGCGTAGAGTTCAAACTGACATGGTACATTGCTCGCAATGGGGTAGGATTGTACACACTAAAAACCACATGGTGTACTGTTACAGGGTGGGTCGAAAGACAGTTTTTTGTCCTCACAAAAACTGTCTTTTGACCCACCCTCCTCAGTAATAATAATAATAATAGTAATAATCTTGGACAATTCACACAGCGCCACTGAGTCACAAACTAAGTAGAGCTTGTGTTAGTACTAGATAATTGATATAATTACATAGATTCATTTTTTGTAAATATACATACATATATAATATACATAGAATACACCCAGACCGATACAACCATACTCATGAAAGCAAATCTTTATACCGTTCGAGCTATCGAATCTGCGACCATCAGAAGAATGGGGGTGTGCTAAACCACTAGAACACCGAGGCTGTCGAAATCCTGCTGCCTTATTGATGGGCGCGGGTTCGATTCCTCGAACGGCGCAAACTTTTATAGTCATGAATATGATTGTTTGCATCAGTCTGGGTGTTTTCTATATATAATATGTATGTATTTACGAAAAATAATATACATCTATGTATTTGTGTCTATCTAGTACTCATAACACAAGCTTTAGCTAGTTTAACTTTCATTAAGAACAATACATAGTGTAATTTAAAAGTAATTTATGGCTTAAATGTTAAATAATATTATGTAATAAAACTTTTAATATAAATAGAAATTAGAATCGACTAAGAAGAAATAGAAAGTAATAATAGTAATAAAAAAAACATTATCATCCACAGAATGCCGTCAATTTATCAAGTCAGATTGACCTTCACGTGTTCCCCTTTTGATTTAGTTTTACACCTTTTACCACTGAGCCTGTATGAGATGAACTTCTTAGCATTCCATGGATGGCTGGCCAGGGAAACTTCGAGCAGTTCCCAGGACTTGTATATGTTTAAGGGCCTCTTTGCCGACGTACCTCAACACCTTCACCGCTCGTGCTTCTCTCCCTGTCCTGTGTGTGGTTCCTTCTAGTGCACCTCTAGATACACGTTCTAGAACTTACTGCATTTCTAGACAGGCTAAGATATAATTATGTATTTACGTAAAATGATCTTTTTTTTTAGAGAATCACGTATTTCAGCACGGAACACCCTCGAATAGTGTATTACGATACTAAATATGCAGACTATAGCAACGTTACAGCCCGACGTCACAGTCGAAAGGATCCCTTCTACTATGTCGACTTTCATATAAACCTTCTTGTGCCGTATGGTAACAATGTTACTGTAAGTTTCTTTTTGTGTATTTTGAACAGAAAAGCGATTCATATAAAATAAAATGAGCATCTTAAATATATATATATATATAATAATTACACCTTTTATGTACATTATATATTTATTAAATACATATCATCATTGCCTTGCCTTTATCCCATTATTTGGGGTCGGCGCAGTATGTCATTCTCTTCCACTGCTCTCTATCAGTCGTCATATCTAAACATACTCTTCTTTTATTCATATCATCTTTCACACAATCCATCCATCTTTTCTTAGGGCGTCCCCTCCCTTTACATCCATCCACATTCATATTATACACTTTCCATAAGACATGGTCCTCATTCCTCCGCATAACATGCCCATACCAGCTCAATCTGTTACCAGGAATGACAGAATAAGGAATGAGTATATACGAGGAAGTTTGAAAGTTGCGCCAAAAATATGTATTTATGTGTATGAGTATATACTCATACACATAAATACATATTTATATATAAAAATTACGTGTCACGTTGTTTGTCGATGGACTCTTAAACTACTGAACCGATTGCAAATTTGATTTGCACATTGTGTGCAATTTGATCCAACTTGAAAGATAGCTTACATCTCAATTAAAAGTCGCAATATTATTTTATTCAAGAACCTTAGCCACAGCAACGCGTGACCTTGTCTGATAGTTATAATATATATGTCATTACATAACAATCTACCTACTTAAATACACAAAAATTTACTAATAACATTAATGAAAATTGCATTAATATAGCTAAATGCAATTTTCATGGTAATAAATAGTCTTAAACGTAAATTTTATGTTCTTTTGTTCTCTGTATTTACATAGATGATAATTGAAAAACAACACTGTGGTATAACTGAGTTATATAAATGCTGAGTGGGACTCACATTCAGCGTTACCAGTATGTTTTAGCTTATAAGTTGTATACAAAAATTATGGTGGATAAGAATATTGATGTAATGATGAAGAAATTTCTTTATAATAGCTGACTGAACAATTGTCTTACGACTACCCGTCGATGCTGTACTTGAACAGAACCATTCTTTATAGATGCAGGGATATCACTCAAACCACCAGTTAGTATTTTCAACTAAATAAGGTTATTTATTTAAGCTCTTCATGCGGTTTTATCCGCGTGAAATTTATAGCCTATATGTTATTCTGATGTATAAGATATATTATTTGTAAAGTTTCATTATCATCGATTCAGTAGTTTTTGCGTGATAGAGTAACAAACATCTACCTATATTCACAAACTTTAACTTTTATAATATTAGTATCTAATCTATTGCACTTTTAAATCCAAGATTTCAATTACAAATTAGAAACTTTGTTAGCAAAGGAGGACTTATCTCTAAAAGAGATCTCTACTAGTCAACCTAAAACAGCGCGAGAGGAAGTGGTGTATGTTATAATATTAATAAGTCAAATGAAAATTTGTATGTTCTGTCAAAAAGGTTAGTAAGTACTTATTATATCTTATCGTTTGCAGGTAAGCTTTTATTTTTACGAGTTGCTCACTAACGTCTACAAACGCGGCTTCATTGAAATGCACATGGGTGTGTGTGATCTAGTTCTAAATGACAAATTCTTCGGCGGTGCTATGAGAAGAAATTTCAATAACGCGCAAATCCACTGTCCTTTTCCAAAGGTTAGTTTTTCACATAATTGTAAATAAAAGATTATTTTTCGAAGTACTCTACAGCCGTTGGTTCCTGCTGGCGCTTAGTACCACCAAACGAATGGCTTCGAGTGCAGATGGCACTCCAAACGCGCAGAATGACTTCTGAAGAGGCTGAAGGCCAACTCCTTCCTGATGGATACTACTTTAGTATGAAATCATCGCTCTAATATAATATTATATGTTCGAACCAAAACCAAACACCTCGGCTCGGGCCGTTATATTCGCGATTCGCGTTTGAATTGGACGGGGAGATCGATGGGAGTAAGAGCCTGCTCACTATTCTAATGAACATTGGATAGCTGGCACTGCTGGCACTGCACTTGACAATGGTTGCTATGCCCTGTGTACTCTTCTTTATTATTTAAGTCTTCTTATATCTTCTGGTATATTGGTTGTTATCTCCATAATATCGGCTCGTTAGCCAAAACTCCACGTTCTAACTCTGCGCCTACATGGGGAATTTCCACTATCTTACGCCTCTCGGTCCATGTGGGCTCGGCGCGAGACGACAGTTGAATTAATTTTCTAGTACTAATATTATACGTACACTTAGTGAACACACACACTTATTGAATCGTTGATCGTGCGGACTGGAGTGAACCTCTTCATGTGTGAACACATTTCATTCCAGAGGTCTAAAGTGTTATGCCACCATAATCTTTATTTCACTATCATATCTCACTCTTGAACGGAAACTCAAATAATAAATTAGGTAGATTTAAGTTTGAAACGGAAGTTCAAACCGTAAAACTATAATCTACAAACTACATTTTTTATTTTTCAGGGTGAATATCACTACTACAACATGACAATACCAATAGAACAAGTCCCGAGGGGATTCCCGTTTACAAGAGGCCGTATTTATTGCAATGTATCAATTACTAACACGGACAAAGTAATTGGAAGTGGATATATTGATTTAGAATTAAAAACGGCGTGGGTATCATATTGAAATCGATATTGGATTTGATCACAAATTATTGTTTGACAAATCAAGAAATTAGAGAAAATATATATGTCTATAATGCACCTCGATTTCTATTCTATTCATATAAAATAGACTGTATATTTTTCTTATGGCTTCTTATTTACAAATTCTGCATGTCCTTATAGGTCGAGTCGAGGGAGTGGGATGTGAGTATAATGAACGAGTTTATTTTTAACTACTGTATAACTGTTGGCCTTTACAGCTTCACCAGACGAGCTATAGGCCAACTCCTGCTTGATGGATACGACTTTAGTCTTAGGGCACCCCAAGGGGTTCAAACCTAGACTCGGGTCGTCATAATGTCGATCCCCTTTTGAATTGGGAATCGATTGGACGGGCAACAATGAACGAGAAAAATGACCTCTCCGCGTCCTGCTCTGACTCGCACTATCTCTCCTGCGTCTGCTCACACAGGCTACGGTACGAGCCGATATCGGCGACCGAAAAGCGAGACAATGAATAAGCGCCCCTAGTGACACCCCTGGTGTTTCAGGCGTCCATAGGCTACGGTAACCATTTACCATCAGATGAGCCGTATGCTTGCTTGCCACCATAGTAGTATAAAAAAACAATGCGACTTTCTGCATGCAATTCAGTGTTCTAAAGTTTATACTCTCTAACTATACAACTTTATACAATGTTTGCGGGCACAGAATACTTACTTTCTGGTACGCAAACAAATTAATTATACTAGAATTAAGTTATTGCAAGATACATTTGACTTAACATAGGTATTGAAAACAATCTATATAAAATATATAAATATAAAAAAATAACGTGTCAGGTTGTTTGTCCGCGATGGACTCCTAAATTACTGAACCGATTGTAAATTGCACATTGTGTGCAATTTGATCCAATTTGAAAGATAAGATAGCTTACATCTAAATTTATAGTCGCAATATTATTTTATTCAAGAACCTTAGCCACAGTAATGCGTGGCCGGATCTGGTCTAGTTATTACATAAATACTAGCCGTCCCGGCAAACCTTGTTTTGCCATATAAATTAAAATTGCTATTAAAAATAGGCGTTGGTGGTGAGTGAAAATTTAAAGGTGTATGTATTTTTTAATGCAACGTAATAAAAAAGTGTCGAAAATATAAAAATAATTTGGGTAAGCCACCCTTAACACTTAGGGGTATAAAAATTAGTTATAAACCTAATCTCAGATCTACTGAATATACATATAAAATTTCATCCAAATCGGTCAAGCCGTTTCGGAGAAGTATAAACACGGAACCTGATATATTACTGTGAACGAAGGACTGTATTGGGCTGGTAAATATAATTATGGGTTTTAGGAAGACATAATATAATATTACGTACAAAATTAAAAAAGTTAGCAAAAGAAGAATGACAATGACGTACATATTTTTCTATATAAAAATAATACTTGTAAAAAACAGAAATAATATATAAAGAGGTGCGTCGTGCACAATTACATTTGCAAAACACAAAATGAGATTTAATTTTATACAATGGTTTGCAAGAAATTGCATGCTATTAGGCATCATTATTACTAGTAATGCAAGTTCCGGCTCTCATTCACCATTAATGATCATGATCTAATCTATATTTAATTATTAAATCGTGAATTTAATTGAATAAACATTTGTGTGAGTGCTGTGTTTTGCTGTAAAATTATATTCATCTCAAAATTGACTCTCAACATGACTGGTGGTGTTTACTGGAGTATAATAATTGACGTATTATTTTTTGTATCCATGCAGGAGGCAAAGGAATCGAGAAAGGTAATCATAACTCATCATTGTTAGTCGATGTTGGGTATTCTGGAGCATTTCTTGGTGGATGGAAATGGTACGGGCCATCTAACTTTATTTTGTTATCATGTGATGAAAGTTCGAAGATTTATTTGATCGTTTTTAAACACAACAGTATACTTTTATAAATATGAACAATACATAGTTTAATTTAAAAATAACTTGAGATATTGTGTCCTTGTGTATCCGCGGTAAAGGTCTTAAGCTCAGTGTGGATAATTGCTCAGAGAACAAAACCTATTTGAGGTTACGTGAAAATTATAGTAAGAAAAAACAACCAATAAAAATACCGGCTGCTACGTGTGGAATGGGCTTAATAATATTGTAGAAAATTTTGATACAAATCAGAGTAGATATAATTTGAAAATATTATAATTTATATCGAAATGGAACGATGATTTTTTAAGCTAAAAGGGATTTCTAATTGCCTTATTGTTGACTGAAATAAAATGGCTAATAATTTGACAGATCATTCTAAAAACAATGATGTGGTATAAGAAATTTGGTTACATAAATGAAAAAGGCTTGGAAATAATAAATACTAAAAATATTATGAGACGGCTAGGATTGAATGAAGTGAAATTTAACACATGTGAAACCTGTAGAAAATGTACGATCCAAGATATACATTGGCACCAAGTTATGTCTCTGTGTGCCAAATATCTGGTGCCAATGTATAATATATAGTACGTCTGTTGTGGTTGTACTCATCATCATCATCAGCCCACTCCCAAGGCACGCCACTCACGATCTTCAGCCCTTCTCATCCAGTTACTACCCGCAACCCTACGTAAGTCGTCGCTCCACCTAGCTCGTCCTGACGCAGCAGTAATGCAAGTGACAATTTTAAAGAGGCATAAATACTTGAATCTGGTATGGTCGTATTAGTTTTTGCTATTATAGTGTCCAGAAGTCAAATTATTTTGACGTGTATTTTAGCGAGGCTCACGATGTCACTTGTGTACTGTATACTGAGCTGGTAGCTATGTTCCGCAGAAGATAAGTTTGGGTATTCAAAGAAACGCTACTTGGATGCTCTAAGGCCCTGTTCAATATATGTAGATTTTAGTGTGAAGGAAATGTTCGTGACCTAATGTTTAATTAGGTATTACTTAATTTTAACTTTTTTTTCTAGAGAATCACGTATTTTAGTACGGAACACCCCCGAGCAGTGTATTTCGACACTAAATATTTAAGCTACATCAACATTACATCCCGACGACACAGTCGAGCAGATCCCTTCTACTATGTCGACCTTCATTTAAACATTCTTGTGCCGGTTGGTGACAATGTTACTGTAAGTTTTTTATATATATTTCGACAGAAAACAAGCCGATACCTCCATCTGATGGTAATGGTAACCGTCACCTACATATATGTATAAATATAATATAAACAGCACTAGGGATATCAATTCATTTAGTCCCCGAGGCGTGTTCCAATTTCGTCCATCAATAGTTAACTTAGTTGTACTATGAACATAATTATGTACAATGTACAACGCCATCAATTAAGCAGCAGCTAACCTGTTAAATAAAGTACTAACTAGGAATTGAAATGAACTTTAAAGTTATGGAGCATATTACAACATGAATTAAAAAAAAAATGTGTGGGGTCCTGCACCTAAACCCTCTCTCGAAACTTTAGCTTACGTTCCCGGTGAACGTAAGCTAAAGTTTCGAGAGGAAATTGGTCACATTGATCTGTTGCTGATTACAAGGATACCAATGATGTGCTGCTATTCTTATGATGTAATTTGATAACCGCGTTACACACTTCAACCAAAACATAGCCTGATGAACATAGATCATAGGTGGAATTAGATGAGACAGTAGTATCCACACAGCCGACTGTATGCAATTTTACCTCAATAAAATTATTAGACGTTACCAGCGACCTTCTTTTTGAATATAAAAAATAGCATATGTCTACCCTCTTCATGAATTAAGCTCCGTTCTGTCAACAGACAAACAGATAGACATCTTAGGCATGATATTAGCATGGAACTTCACAGTTATGTTACAAGTCAAATGAAAATTTCTATGGGTTGATCCAAAATATTAGTAGGAATTATTTCTTATCTTTTGCAGGTAAGCTTTTATTTTTACGAGTTGCTCACTAATGTTTACAAACGCGGCTTCATTGAAATGCACAAGGGTGTGTGTAATCTGATTCTGAATGATAAATTCTTCGGCGGTGCTATGAAAAGAAATTTTAATACAACGCAATTACGCTGTCCCTTTCCAAAGGTTAGTTTTTAACGTAACTGCAAGAAAGAGTATTTTTAAGTATGCAATTATTTATTTATTTTTTATGGGGTTGCACACAACACCAAGGGAATTGCAAGTGCGTTTCCGGCCTTTTAAGAAGGAATAAGCTATTTTCTTGAAGGTGTTAATAATGTATCTGTTCAGAAATACCATCACTGGAAGGCGATTCCACAATTGGGTTGCGCGGTAAAAAGTTTCTGTGAAAATGCACGGTCGAGGACTGACATTCATCCAGATAATCAGGATAGTATTTCAGTTTCTGGCGGATAGTGCCATAATGAAATTCAGCAGCTGATATGAATCCAAGTAATTTCTCAAAATACTCTCCCTTATTTAGGTTGTCGAAAATGAAGAGATGAAATATCTCGACGCAAAGCCAATAGGTCGAGTCTCTCACAAAGATGTTGATTGCCATATTGGCTGGCTGCTCGGTTCTGAATTCGGTCAAATGTAAATAACTGGTGATGTGGTGCTACCATTCAAAAATGATAATAAAGAATATGGCAAGATGGCCCGCCATGAAATATCTCAAGTCGAAGCATATGTACCATCGATGACGATCTTGCGGAACACCAGAATTCACAGAATGTAAGTCGAAGCATGTACCATCGATGACGATCTTGCTCCATTCCGCGAGAAAGCTGAGGCCAAACTTCCCCGTAAGATGGTAGTTTTAAAGAAGAACTCTGTCCAAACCCGATTAAACGGCTTTGAAATATCCAGGCTAACTGTTAGGGCCTACGCCCTATTCTCAACTGCCTCTGCCCATCGATTTGTCAAGAACACTAGAATATGCGACCTTGAAATGTCTCACTGTGTTGACAATAGATTCCATAATCTTCTGAATATACTGGACTGAGCACACCTAACTTTTTGAAGGCTATTTTGTGAGGCTATTTTAGAATTTATTGCAATATTACAATTACTAACACGGATAAAGTAATTGCAAGTATGTACATCGATTTAGAACTAAAAACGGCCTGGATATCAAATTGACATCAATATTGTACTTATTTATTTATTTAAATAACTTTAATGCACGTCATACATAAGTAAAGAGTACATATGGCGGACTTAACACCTAATGGCATTTTCTACCAGGCAACCATGAGTTGTGCAGAGATAAGTTGTTGGCGGTGCAAACAATATTATAATATTTTTATTGAATATACATATGTTCCCATTTTCCATCAGGTACTCAGATAGCCATTGTAAACATACATACATAAAAATAAATCTTATCTAAAACTAAATCAGCACATAATCATTGTTCGAAATTAATGCGTTGTGGATAATAAACGAAATTATATCAGTTCATGTTTTATTTTAATATATATATAATTGGTAATGATTGCTCATTTCTTATTACATATATTATTATAATAACAAATTATTTTATTTTTACTTCAATAATAATGGAATGTTATGCTACACAAAATCATTAGAAACATAGTAACCCGACCAGATAGTTTATTATTAATAATACTAAATAATAATATAATTATGAATATTTTTGACAAATATTTTATTCTATTTATTATTTTACGCTGTGTTGTAACTGTAAAGGTAAGCTTTTGTAAATATAAATGGTAAGGCGGTATAGATATTAATTTATTTTTACAAATCATTACATAATACAATATAAAGTCATTGTCGTAGTCTGTCCCTATGTATGCTTAAATTTTTAAAACTACGCAACGGATTTTGAAGCGCTTTCTTTTAATAGATAGAGTGATTCTAGAGAAAGCTTTATATATATATAATACATGTACACCCGTGCGAAGCCGGGGCGAGTAGCTAGGTTACTATAAACTGATTGTCTAAAAATATATAGACTGATTGGTTTCAGACACCTATAACGTAACGATTACCTATTGGCTAAATTCCGGTAGTGTACTGTGTTCTGAAATCTATAACTGGCTGCTAATAAAACACACGTTGGTTTAAACTAGGATTGTCAAGACCAAATTTAAAAAAACAGGATTGAAAGTTAAAAAATAAACAGAATTATCCAGTTTAAAAACAGAATGCAGTAATAGTGTTGCAGTGGTTATATTTATAGGTAGTAAAATTCGAGTAACGAATATAATCAGATTTTTAATAAAAACTATTTGATAAAATTATACTGCTGAAAATCAATAATTAAGAGGCGCGCATATTTTAAAAACCCAAGACGCTGCCAAATCTCAGGACTTCCCAGGACACTATGACCTGGATCCAGGATGCTCTGTAGGTCCAAATAAGTTCTCGCATGTAGTGACTAGGTGTGGATTTACACGTCGCTTCAACAATGATGGTTTGTACATTGTTATTGAACTTCCCAATGATTTCAAGTTAAAAGCGGAATCCTATCTTAATAATAATATCATAAACGCGAAAGTTTGTGAATATGGATGAATGTTTGTTACTCATTCACGCAAAAAGTACTGAACGGATTTTGACGAAACTTTACAATAATTAAGCTTATACATTAGAATAACACGTAGGCTATATGTTTTATTGAAACTTAACGCGGTTGAAACCGCGGGCACAGCTCGTTAATATTATAAACGAGAAAATTTGTGAGTATGGATGGATGTTTGTTACTCGTTCGCAAAAACTACTGAAGGGATTTTGAAACTTTACAGTAATATAGCTTATGCATCAGAATAAAACATAGGCTATATTTTATACTGAAATTTACCGCGGGTATAGCTACTAATATTATAAACGCGAAAGTTTGTGACTATGAATGTTTGTTATGTTTTGACGCAAAGACTACTGAATGGATTTCGATGAAACTATATAGAAATATAGCTTATGCATCAGAATAACACAAGGCTCTTCAAATTTAACGTGAGTGAAACCGCGGGTACGCTATTCCACGCTGAGCTTCGACCTTTTTGTATTGCTGCGGATTACACGTCGTACTAGGTATTGTTTATATTTATGAACATGTAATTGTGTGTGAGTAGTAACAATCCAATAAACGATATATCTATCTATCTATTACACAAAGTAATTTGCTATACAAAATCTAAAACGTACTTCTGTTTCAGAGGATACAGTATTTTGCAACGGAGCGGCCTCGTATAGTGTACGTCGACCACGAGTATATGTCATACGTAAATATTACGTCGCTACGTCACTGCCGGAAAGATCCGTTTTATTACGTGAATATGCATTTTTCAGTGACAATGCCATTCGGAAACAACGTGACTGTAATTGCTATATATTTTTTTAAATAACTTCTCGATACTTTTCCCAGACAGAGGTAGTCAGAGGCGTTATTAATTATACTCCGTTCCAATATGAAAATATCATGTATGCCAGGAAGAATATAGATAGTTTCAAAAGAGTTAGTGATTGCACTAATAAAAGCTTACGTAACAATAACAAACTGATTTTACCTAAATGTCATTTGGCTAAAGTTAGTAATTCGTTTTATGGCAATTGCGTAAGGTTTTACAATAAAATACCAGAGTCTGTTTTAAAACTGCCAGAAAAAAGATTTTAATGTCAAATAAAACATTTCCTTTGCAAAAAAGCTTACTATAAAATTGAAGAATTCGTTAACGATAATGTTTTTATAGAAAAACTTTAAATCCATAGCACTGACAATATTATCTGATTATACTAATAATGAGTTGCGTAGCGATTTCTATGTTAATTATCGCATGCCTATTACTTGATATAATTACAGTAATTATTTATATAAAAAACATCTATTAAAAAGAGCAACACACAAGTTTCTTGCTCATTCTTCTTGTGATGAATATGTATTCCGAATGAGTGGTAGAATCAAAATATGACTATTCAAAAGTGCTTGTAATGAGTTTATTTGAATAAAGATTATTTCTATTCCTAATAAAACTTACAATGAGAATGTAAGCAAACATTTTATATTAAAAAATATCAATATAAATCATTACTAAATGGAAATGGTACATAATTAATTAAGTGAAACCAAAACATTCGATAGAATTTGCGATTTTTTTTTATGGATGATAATCGAATGGTGCACCCACCTGCCATAACGGTTTACGCTGGCGGGGCACCAGTGGAGGATGATAAGATGACCAAGAGGGCAGGTCAGTTAGCCTATCGTGACAAATTTACCAAGATTGATCGCGATGGTTTCCAGGGGGAACCACGTTGAGGTCACATGACATGGTCCATTGCTAACAATAAGATCATTAGTTCACATTACTAACAATTCAGTGTTTATTATTAAAATTGTTTGTTTTGTTGTTTTGAACATTTCCCCTCTTAAAAAAAGGAGTCTCACGGTACCGAGACCGATACTATATATATATAAATATATATATATATACCCAGACGAAAGGGTATCCATGACGGCATTAAAGGTGTAATACCTACAGTAATCCATAATTGTAACTTTATTTACCGGTCTAAGTCTATCTATACTAGTGTTTGCTTCTTTATTTACCGGTTTTGGTTATTTATTTTATTTCATTTTATTTCTAGATCCATTACTATTTCTACGAATTTCTCACCAACCAGTACAAGCGTAATTTCGTTGAAATGCACATAGGAGCATGTGACTTAGTACATACGAATAAATTCTTCGGAACTACAATGAAGCAATATTTTCCCTCAATGTGTCCTATCCCTAAGGTATTTTTATTTTATCAGGGTCAATAAACAGTACAACAATGCAATTTTTTTAATTAACGATGCAGCATATTTATATCTTATTGTACTACTAATATCATTATTCACAATTTTTTGTACAACTTCACTAATGCCTTGTATTAACGATACAATTGGTAGCTACAGATTTGAAGCAATAACATTTTTTTAACTAGTACGAGTATATTGTTGTGTATAACAAGTCTGTGTAAATATATTGTGTATAACAAGTCTGTGTAAATATATTGTGTATAACAAGTCTGTGTAAATCGAAGAACTGGCGATCGAAATTCAGCTTTAGTACAATATTCATGTGTATAATAGAGTAAATATATTTTTTTATGTATTTCATTCACTTGTGCACATGACTTTTGCTACCGTTTCTAGAAAACTAGCTGACCCGCGTAACTTCGTCTGCGTTACATGTCCCCCACCTTTTGCATTGCAGCTCCGCTCCTATTGGTCGTAGCGTAATGTTATATAGCTTAAAGCCTTTCTCGACAAATGGACTATCCAACACAAAAAAGTTGTTCAATTAGAACCAGTAGTTCCTAAGATTAGCGCGTTCAAACAAACAAACATTAGAGTTGAAGAGTCAACTCTATAATATTAGTATAGATTAGAACATTTACGCTATATAAAGTCGAAGTAAAACACAAAAAGGTGGCCGGTTTGGTATACTGCTTTACTTCCGATGGTCGTGGGTTCGATTCCTCGCACGTTTCATTCATTTGCATTCATTATTATTAATAACAATCTGGCTATTCACAAAAAAAGGTATATAATTATTTGTATCAGTTATCTAGTACCCATAACACGAGC